ATCTATCCCCATCTCCATTAATCACTGTTCAACTTTATATGTACATGTCATGCTTGCCGCTGCCGTGCATCCCTCTTCTCACCAGCTCTCCCGCGCTTTCATTCATCAGTCTGTTGGCACTGAGACTGCAGACGTAAAAGCAACGTATTGTGTCTTTTGAAATAAATGTGAGAATCACAAATGCGAGTGGAGTCGGTAACAAATCCAGATAAGCTGGGAATAATACAAACCAGCAGCCGTCGTGTTTTCAGTTATTACAGTTGATCATGTGCATTTTAAAATTGTTGCGCAATGCCCGTACAACCGGAAAAACATGCTGCAAGCCGTGCGTTATGGGTGTAGTGTATCCTGTTTTAACACATCACAGCACCTAAGGAAAGAAAATGATTAAAAGCAAAACAAAAAGTGAAACAAAAGAAAGGTGCATGAATTTGGAGTTGTAGTTTGGTCCCAGCCTATCTCTGTCCACGTGTTGTCCCTGTCGGAGACATATCCAAATAGCTATGGATGATCTATAAGTAAATATAACAACAAAAAGTGCATCTATGAGCAAATGTTTGTCTGTCAGTCAGATGTTAGAAAGACAGATGTTAGATAGACCATTAGCTTACTCCAATGGCACCAACTGTTAATGTTGATTGATAAGAGAAAGCTCCAATAAAATGATCGTGTAATTCAGACTGTCTGTTATCATTTACTTACTCATTGAATCTTTTGTTTAAAAAATGGCAGGAAAAAAACACGAGCCCAGGAGACTAAGTGACAGGACAATTACACCGCCCCAAGTATTTTCCACTGCTACACACACACATACACAGTGTTTCTGGTTCAAACTGGAAATAAAGTAAATTGTTGGATGTGCACCATGGTGCCAAGCCAGTGATCAGTTTAATATTTGCTGTAATGTGACACTTTGATTTTCTGTCATGTATGGAGACTCGGGGCAGGGGGTCTATTCTAATGACTTTAGAGAGGAAGAGAGCTAGTGTAGCCGCAGAGAGATAAAAATGGCACAGATATGATATTCCAAGTTTCTTGCATGGACATGGATTAGTAATTCCTGTTTGTGTGAGCGTGTTTGCTTTTTTCCTCAGTGTTCTACCTCAAACCTCTTCTTCTTCTTCTTGGATCAAAGCCTTCTTCTGAGAGCTTGTCCATGACGACCTTCAGTCTTCAGACTTTTAGCTGAAGACTGTCAGTTGAAACTTTACCTGTAACTGTACCTGAACCTGAGCCAGTACTGTTACCCCAGAGGCTGTGAGACATGTAAATATGTATTTATCATCATCATAACAGTTGCCTAATTTCGGTCATCATCATCATCATCATTACATTGGCAGTGTTTGTCATGCTAAAAAATCTGATGATTCTTTTCTACATTTATTCAATTGTAACAATATCCCCGGCACCACAAACGCATCCCAAACCCTGACAGATCCTCCATCGTGTTTTAAAGATGGAGGTAGACGCTCCTTGTGGTACCTCTCTCCTTTTTTCGGACCACGTTGACAGCAATTTTAACTAAAAGTTGCCAATTTGGATCCATCGCTCTACAAGTCTTGTTGCCACAGACTTTCAGTCCAGTTCTTGTGTAATTTGGCAAAACCTCAGCCCTATTCTCCCTGTTTCCCTCAGTTAATAAGGACTTTCTGACAGCCACAGAGACCATTTCTGATGAGGCTTCGGTGAACAGTAGATCAACTTAAAGGGCCAGTTGCTTCTCTTAGCGGCTTTGCTGTTTCCCCCTACTTCTTAAGTAGAATAGAATAGAATAGAATAGAATAGAATAGAATAGAAT